GGCTGTCCTGCTCTTGACACAGCCCCTACCCCTTCTAATCACAGACCACACCATCCCACCTAAGCCTCTTAGGAAGGGTTACAGTCACCATTCAGCCTTGCTGCCTGCTTGAACACTGGTGCAGAAAAAAAGAAAAAAAAAAAAAAAGAAAAAAAAAACCACAAAAGCAACAATACGTTAAGGAATCAGACATGTTACTCTTAAACTTTGTGTTTGAAAAAACACAAAGACCCTTCCACCTATTTTGACCTTCAGTCACAACTACTGATTTCTGATTAGCATAACTCATCATCCTACAACTAAACGCAACCCTTAGAAATCAATGCATTTTACTATTTTCATAAAAGTCAATGAATCTGATTTTCAGCTGTGAGAACTGCAGTTACTGATTCCATTCCCATCTGGTTTCATCATGCATTCCTGCATATTCTTTTGGGTCCTGAAGAACAAAAAAAGTAAAGCTGCTATGCTTGTGGACAAATTCAGTCAATAAGCCACTGCTGGTAAACTAAGGATAGCTTTAGGTACCTGACAAACAGTTCAGTTGTACACTGCTTTAATACTTGTACATAAAATGCAAGATGAGTACCCTTAAAAGAAGTAAAGCTTTCATTATTCTATCTCTCAGCATTATTTAACAGCTGTTTTATGAAAAGGCCAATGAAAAAGCTTGGTGTATAGTTTGATCATAGTAATGATTGAGAGGAAGAATGTTTGCTTTTCCTTTTAGTGTGTTTCTCCCACTATTCTCTGAGACTCGGGACCTTCAGTATCACCTCTTTAAAAGTGCACTATGTTACTCAGGTTACTTAAGAACACAGAACCACATCTGTGCTATTCAACCCCCTGATGGTGGTTGGTGAGGTTTTTAAGGGTGGATGAGTCAGAACACTATCTGTATTCAGTACAGAAAGACCAAAAAAATCAATCTATTTAGGGAAAGAAGTTAGAAATAACAGAAGAAACGGGTCCGCCTTTGGAATTTCCTACTTCACAGCAGCATTAGCTATGATGTACCACTGTTATGGAACAATACATCTGAACAGAAAAATACATTACATGCTTCAAAAACACTGAAAGCAGGAGTAGATCTAAAATGTCGTCATCTAGCATGCCTGTACTCAAAGATACATGTTGCCCTTTTAAGTACTTACTTCTCTCCCTTTTCCCTCCCATACATGAACTTTTCCATTACATCAGTGCCTTTGAAAGTCTTTCTAGTTTTTGTTTTAGCTTTTAAATGTTAAGAAGCTTCATAATTTCAGAAATTATTTCAGCTTTGGTCAAAACACTTTCATGAAAAGACACAAGACTATTTGAATAAAAATGAACACAGAGCATCTATGGCACAGTGTTCTCTCACAGAGGAAGCTACATGCTACATACAGCAGTAAAGAAAGGAAATTCAGACTAGCAAGAGTAACATGCTTAATCCAATAGGAAATAATGACATGAGAAATGACTGGTATCAGAGCAGTAGGACACAATAATAAAGAATACATTTGTACAATTCTAGTTTACAAACAGGTAGAAATTGACAATTTTTATTTCTATTTTTGTTCAGACAGCCTCACCAGAGCAGAAGTACTGTTCCAAGGTCACATCTGATGGAGGCTGTGCACTCCAGACACAACCACATAATTGATGTATTACATTCAATACCTGATCCTTCAGGTGCAGAAGTGACATTCAGCCATTTCACAGTGTAACATCATACAACATATCCAGCTCCATAACTCTGTCTTCCCTGGGCACATCCCTTCTGTATTACTGCTGACAGGCTGGTCATGTCTGTAAGTACACAGGCTGAGGACAGACAACACATTTCCACACGAGCTCTTATAAGGTTACTGTGCTCTACACACCCCATGATTGGTGGATGCTTATCACTGTTTGTTCAAACCTGATTATTTTAAACAAAGAGCATACAAAATAAGCTTCCACACCACTTCATTCTACCTCCTTCGGTCATCCTGGTCTCTTATTTCTATTACTGCTTGCACCTGCTACTGTGACACTGCATTTTAGGATTAATCTGATGGTTTTGCTTTGTTGGTATTCTGTTTAAGAGCTACACATGGACCCGGAGTCACCTTCTAAGGTCGTCTGTCTAAAAAACGTTTGAAGCGACTGTAATGTTAAAGCACGACAGCTGATGTTATTTACATCTCTGCTGACCAAGAGAGAGCCTGACTTTGGATACCCTAGAGGCTTTCCAATAATGCATAATCACCTCTTGATAAAAAACATGGCTCCACTGAAACCTGAAAAACTTCTAGACTTGAACTAGAACTCTACGCTACCATTTCTAACACCAAACGTTCCAATTTGTCCTATGTCATATTATTATCAAGGTCTTGTAAACCTTATGTTTATAAATACACTTCAAATCATCATGAGAGGAAAAAATGTCCCTCTCCATGCATGCCCATTTGATTTCTACATCAGTGACCCAATTCTAGGCCCTTAAAACTTACATGATGTGGAATTAGTTTGCACTGGATACACTCATTACTTGGTTGCTGTTTCTTACCTCTAACTCATTTAAATTCTTCCTCCACATCAGATTCTATTGCAGTACCTCCATGACCACTACTGACAGTCACCGATTTGATTTACAAATAGCTCTGACGGGATCAGATGTTGCCAAAGAGACAGTAAGGAAGCAGAGGGAAGCTGGGAATCGATATGAGAAAAATAACAAAAGGAGAAAAGCAGAATGGAAAGAGCACAGAATATTGGTTTAAATAATAATGACTAATAAGATGCATCTATCAGCACCTAATGGGTGCACACTGTTTACTGATTAGTCATTGCTAGTCTCCACTTGTTTGTTTGTTTGTTTCCTCAAACCACAAATTCTTCATAGTGAGAAGTATCTCTAGTGAGAATCAATTCACCTTGAACTACAAGATCCTTTATTTTGTATACTGCCACATTCATGTTTCTTATTGTTGTAACAAAATCTCCCCCTTTGTTAAAGACTTACCAATATCTTAAATACTAGCTCTGCTTGTTTATAATTTTCCTCATAATTACAGACTCAATCATAAATATTCATGCAGTGCCACACTGTAAAGGCACTTCCATGTTCTAGATCACAGATGAAGACACTTCTCTAAACCACTTATCATATGACCCCTGCACAGAGGCATAAAGGACTTGGTGTGTGTGCATTCACCAAAAAACAGAATCCTGAAATGGTTCAAATAAGAGGGAGCTTTTCTCATGGGGAGAACACAGAGTAGCAATTCAATTATATACTGCTGTTTCCAAATGCAGTGTCTCACTTGGGGGATAGTTGCTGATCATGCTTGTTCAAATGCCTTTGCAGGATATATACAGAAACAACACTGGAATTTGGCTCCTAGTTACAGAGTGCTGGTTACTAATTTAACTATAAAGATACCAGACCTCGAATTCTTGATTTCATGCCCACTCAACTGTCCAAACAAATGGCTCATCTCAGTGGGACTCAAATCTACATAAATATTAAAGAAGGCTTAAAACGAAAATATCATCTCATTTTCTTTAGATGCAAAGTGAATCACAACATTTAGATCAGTTTTCAGAATAATATAATGCATTTCATTATATGAGAATTCAGAAATTGTATTAATGCCTAAGAACACCGTTGGTAGTTAGGAAAATACTACTTTAAATAGAAACGTTATCTGTCCTGAGGGATTGAGGTTTTATTGACCCAGGTTTAACTACTGCAAATGTGTTGTGATTAATAACTACTCAGAACAATTCATTTTGCAATGAAAAATCTCCAGCATTAACACACAGTCCCTATCAGAAGACCTCTCCCATTTCTACTAGTTCCTGGTATACGTCTCGGTGTTTTTATTGTCTGTATCTTCAGTAGATTATCTCAGAATCCCTGGGATTGTTCAATAAAGTTTAACCGTCTTGTGCTATTAATGTGCTGGTGCTCCATGTGGAGTGCTCGTTTCCTTCCTTTTATTGAACGCCAAACGGAGGGACACAATGGGTGTGTTGTGCTCTGTCTAGCACGGAACGTGCGATATCTTTAAAAAGGAGGTGTGAGCTGGCTTTAATACCACTGCTCTTAACAGCACAAGTACCACAAACTAATCAACCACAGCACAGGGGCATGCAGTCCATTGAAAGCTGGTGAAAAAGCTGCTTTTTATTATGACCTACATACTGCACAGCAGCAGTTGGACAATTTAAATCTAACGCTGTGGCTGAGCACAATGCATGGAATCTACTAGTGATGAACTCCGTGATGTAAGGCAAACATGCTCACTTCTTCTATAATATTGTATTTCACCCACGCTATCCTGATAATAAAAAACACAATGACAATCCAAACAAAAATATAATCCTTGCCTTTCAGTAGAATTATCTACTAAAAATTTATCATCTATTGTAAGCATCCTTCTGAATCAGCAACCATATGGAACAACACTCACATCGAAACGTTTAAGGACAACGCAGTGAGATCAATGAATTCAGCAGCCACCCTAAACCAGCCAGGGACCGAAGCCAAGGCACAGACACCGAGAGCAGCCTGTTTCCCGCACGAAGTTGTGCCCAGCTGTGCCCCAGCCCCGCGCCCGCCCGTGCCCAGGTACCTCTCCCGCAGCAGCCGAGGCGCACAGCGCTCCCTTTTGTGGCCGGGTCCGGCGGCAGCTCGCCTGGCGGGAGCAGCCCGGGAGCCGCAGCGGCGCCGGGCCGGGCCGGGCCGAGCCGCACACCTGCTCCTGGCAGCGCCGCGCCCGGCGCCAGCCGCGCTCCGAGCGGCGACTCCCCGGCCCTGGACCCCGGCTGGGCTGCGAGCGGCGGCTAGCGAGCTGCCGAGACAGCAGTGCGGAGGAGCCCTGCCTTCACAGGACAAGCCCCCGCTCCGCCGCCTGACAGCAGATATGCAGCATTATCGCCCCGCATTCCGCCTCCCCCGAGCAGCGGCGGGAGCGGCAGCCTGTCAAAATGGCAGCTGGCGAGCCCGCTCCGCCGCCCGCATTACTCACTAATATGCCCGCTTCTTCTGCGTCTCCCGACGGGATTGTTGTTTATTCCCCGGTATAGCACAGCAGAATATGTCACATTGTTTTCCCTAAGCAAAATGGCTGGTCCCCTCGGCACCGCCGCAGAGCGCTCATTGGGCTCCCCCGGCTTGCCGGAGCCATGGCAACAGCCAACAGCGGCCCGGCCCGCCCCGGCGCCCGGCACCGCGCCCGCGGAGCGCCCGCACCGAGCGGGCACCGGGCAGCGCTCCGAGCCCCGCGCCCCGGGCTGCAAAGCACCGCGCCAACGCGGCCGGGCAAGCGCCTCTCTGCGCCAAACTGAAGCGCCAAAATTGACAGGGAACTGTGTAAGCACTCGGGGTAAATAATCGTCCTTACCTAGGAAATAGACATGAGGGATAGCCATTATACAATAGTCAGCTGGTTTTTCAACAGTAAAGCCTAAATTCCCATTCATTCACAATAACCTAACCCCTGACATCATAATTCTTAAAGGTTGCTGCTTGTTACACAATTTTCAAAGGTTGCACATTGAAATTTCCATGCAATTTCATTCTATTTAGAATAACATGTTGGGGTTTTTTTTCCTTTCAGTTAGATGTAGGAAGAAAATGAGACATTTGCGAAGAATTTAAAACTGCTCATAAAAAAATTCTGCTCTTCAAGACCTGTCATGAGCATGTATCTCAATTGCCTAAGGAGTCATGAGTATAAGATAGAGAGCACAAGCAACACACATCAGCCTAAAGTTCTCAATAAGTAATTTAGAAGCATTAAATGTATCTAAGCAAGGATACTGCATTTCATACCCAAGAGTTCTGAGTATTGGTCAGAACTTCCCAGTTGTTAGCAGGGATTGACTTAATACATATATGAAATAATTGCATTTCCTTGTCCAGCTTTACTTTTCTAGGGCTACAGCAGATTTTTTTGCCTCTGAGTACAACTTGTAGACAAAGCTCTGCTGCTCCACCCCTCCAAGTGAATTTGCTGCTCTCAGGATCCATGGACAGTGGTGTCACTGTTGGGTCCTGGGCAGAGAACTAAGGTCCACTTGAGTGGATTTTACACATTTCTTCCTTCAGCATCTTCACCCTCTTTTCCTTGTGTAAATTTCTCTGAAAGTGATACTGAGCTCTGTGAAAGTGACCTGGGAAGGGCTCACAAGGAAACAAGTAAGTAAATTCTGTTTAGAATTCTGAGGTGTTGGAGCTGAAACATTCCAGTATATTTATACAGGTTCTTCTACACAAATGCTAATTTAGTCTTGTTTCTTTGTCTCTTAGCCTTCTTAAAAAAGATGGGTGGATGTCCACATCTCTCAAACTGCAGCTGAGGCTGAGAGTCTGTTCTAGATTGTGGTGAAAGTATTCCCTGCTCCTGTGACTCAAGCACATACTTTTGGTGCCATGACTACTGTTCAACACTCATTTTTGATCAAAAAGGGATGTCTGCTGATTAGGCAACCAAATTCTGAAGCTTTTGCTTGGAAAACATTAAACTACTGGAGTAATTATTTACACACTAAGTATTAAAACAAAACCAGCCTGCAGAACAAGGCACTGTTTCACCATGATTGGTTCACTAACTTTTTTTGTTAATAAGCAACATGAGACAGACTGCACATCCATCTTTCTTTTTAATGCATTGATACAGTCACTGACTTTAAAAAAGATTAAAAGTGCTCTTCAGTAAGGGAAGACACAAACAGGTTTTCTATTCCTTTATTGCACTAAGTGCAGTTACTATCACAATACTGTCAACAGACAGGCTAAAATAGCTTTTGGAAGGCTATGAGTTTTTAAACAATGTTACAGCTTGGAAAGGTTTCAGGATGTTTGTCCATATATCTGAACATATGCAGGCACCTGAAAGTACAGTAGAAATGCATCCATTAAAATGTTTTTGAATTTTTCTTTTAAAATAAAAAGCTGTTTTAAGACTTCAAGTTCATAATTCAATATTTAGGGGTCTAGAACTGTGGTCTGTCTAGAACTTAGGTCTGTCTGTAATGCAGGCACACTTTTAGCCAGAAAAGGCTGATGGAGCTTTTTCCTGCAGTGTCTCATAGGACTTAACAATATACAAGTACATGCAACCTTTCCTTCTCTGCAGTTTCATAAGTGATTAGGCAGAAATTAGAAGAGGCTTAACCCAAGTGCAGATTATGGCTCCAATTCAGCAAACAATTAAAGCACAATTGTGAGAAGCTAACCTGGGTTTACCTAAAAGCTCCACAGAAGTCCTGGAAACAGTTTCTGATGCATTCTCTGCACAGTCCTAAAATTTCTTCTGGCAAAACCCACTAAAACCATGACGTCAAAGGATGTGAACTGGACCCACAGTGACGCTGTGAGACTGAATAACCTCTGGTAGTCCCCCCCCCAAGCTCAGTTACACTGCTATCTGTGCTTCTAGGAAAGCTCCAGAACCAGGCAGCTGAAATTGGGGCTGCTAGCATGCTCCCCTTACATAAAAATGCAAGTGCAAGGCATAGAGTCATACTGACCCTACAATGAGTATTTAAGTGCTTAAAGATAACCACTTGCCTGCTGTATTAGAACAGAGCTGAAAATAGAACACATCATTTGGTATCTTTGCTCAAATCCTACTCCCACGTTAATTCAAATGAGCTTCCTGATCTCACCTCTGGTACCTGGAGAACAGTTGTTCATACCAGAGCAATCAGGGCTGAAAGAAAACTAGTATTCACCAATTCTTCAGCAGAACATCACTAAAAGTTTTCAGTTTTGGGACAGAAGTAACATTATTCTCAACCTTATCTCTAAATACTTGTATCAGCAGATCATTCACCACTGTAGTTTAGCCTGTCCTGCTATTTTCCTTCACAAACTGGTTGGCAGCTGTCTCAAACCAGCTCCATACAATATAAAACATATACCTCAGTCAAGGCAACATTTAATTCCTAAATCAACTCAAGAACTGTGATTTGCGTACAATTCATTAAAAGTCATTGGTTTATGAATAATTAATTTGCATTCTAACACTGTTTTAAAAGCATGAACAGTAACATATTAAAAGGCATTGTCAGGAAATATCAAAAGAATAGATCCTAAGTTAAGAAGCAATTACTATATTAAAATCAGCATTTCATTTCTTGCATGGCATTGAAATTATTCCTATAGAAAACACCTAGTGTTCAGCCATCCTGAATATCATTAACAATTACTCACTTATCTGACCCTCATTCAATTTCTGTAATCACTTGATGGTATATTGAAATGAGAAAGACTTATAAAGGCAAATTGGACTGTTATAATCATAAAGCAATCATCATCTATCAAAGTTCTCAAAATTACAGAGACTGATTTTTGTTTTTTTAATACTGTTTGGTCAGCTTGCTTGAATGCAAAGCAGCAGAGAAAACAATGAATACCTGTAGGAGGGTATGCTGAAGTACAGGGTAGTTAACATTGTTTTTCCAAGGTACCAGGTGAAGACAAGCCTATGAACAAAAGCACTGATATCCAATTCCCAAGACATGACTATAATTAACTGCCTGAGATACGACCTGTAAACGAGTAAACTGGAATTCAGAATAAAAAGAGGTCATTTTATCCAGGGTCAAACTTGTTTGCAGCTTCTCCAGCTACTGAGCACTGAGTGCAACTCCAATTATTGGCTTTGCCTTTTCAGGTTCTCACCAAAAACAACTCTGATGAATTTTTCTGTACTGTGGATTCAGTGACATACTTGGCAAAGATGCTGACAGAGAATTCTATCTAGATTGAATAGAGCAATGAGTTGATTTAAGTATTTAAGGTGTGTCATGCATTTAAATAAAACAATCACAAGAGCATTGCAGAAACATTTTCCTGAGTCTATTTGGGAAATGCTTATCACAGGAAATATATTCTTTTATTCACAGTTGCCCTTTAAGACACATTCCTCACCACATGAGTACAGCCATAGAAAAAGCAGAGAAGAGAGAACTAACTTTGATTTTCTTAAAAGCAAATATTTAAAAATTTTAAAAGGAAACCCTGAAGCCCTTTTGTAATTAATTAGAGATGAAAGAGTCTTAACCTAATAAGACTAGTTCCCTCATGTTTTATACCAGGGTTAAAAATACTAGTGAATTCCTGGAGCAATTTCCACACTATTTCCTATCCTACATTTAGTGTTTTACTTTCTGATGTAATTTAGTAAAAAGGCAACAGTGAAAGTATAACTGCCTCAAATACAAAATATTACAAAAATTAAATTAAGGTGCTTTCTAGCTGTTTGGACATACAGTTTTGGATTAATTTCTGCTGCATTTTAAGTAAGATAAAAAATAATCTAAAGTAGACTCTTTTTTATTTTCTTTCTGTTTGCGTGGCTATGAAATTGGATTATTTAATGCATTACATAAATTAATGCATTAAATTAAAAACCTATACACACATATATATATATACACACACTATAACACATATATAACTTTGTTTTCGCTTTTACCAAGAGAACACCACAATTTTTATGATATTGAGCAGATTTTAAATCAGGAGAACTATAGTATAGATAAATATTCCATTTTCAGATCTTTAAGATGGTATTTGAGAGAAGAAATGTGAACCTGAGCTCAAAAAGGCTTAATATTCAATGTGCTCCCAAAAATGAATGCTTAAACATGCAGTTTTAAGAGCAAATAGCAAGCCTTCAAAGCAAAACTAACATACAGAAAGGAAGTGTCTTAAAGTCATCCTCAGAATTTTGGAAAGAGCACCAGGAGGTCAACTGTGACCTAAAGCAAAACAAAAATCAGAAACTGCTGCTGAAATGCACTGTGCTTTCAGAAAATGCCAAGGATATTGTCAAGACAATTAATAGTTTATCTGGTCAATTTGTACTTGAAAGATTTTCAGTCCTGATTGTGTCATGTGCTAACAGCTCCATTTAATAACTACATTAATTCATAGCCCTAAGCAAGAGTTGAGATGAAGTCATGAGGAGCACCCCAGGCCACCTAGTTTCCAGAACCCAAAAAAGCAAGTTTTGCCTCTGTTATGTACTGGAGAACCCTACAAGCCTGAGTTCCTGTGAACATCAAATTCCAGACTCAGTGCAGAGGCCTGAATTGCTGACAGTGCTAGAAATTTTATGCTTCCCACTCTGTTGGAAAACCAAGCTTGGCAGCATACGTTTTGAAGTCT